CCATACCCTCCATGTCCAGTGCTCCATTGTGTTTGACCCCCGCCTCTGACCCTCTCCAGATCCAATGCACTGAAGACCTGGGATGCCACTTATTTCAAGCGCTGCCGCTATGATCCACACGCCAGCCCCTACTGCCCTGTGTTCCGCATCGGGGACCTCGTGCAGGCAGCGGGCGGGGTCTTTGAGGACCTGGCATTGCTGGTGGGTCAGCAGGCAGGGGTCAGAGAAGGCACAGGCAGAGGGTCCTGGACCTGCTGCCGGTGGGGCAATGTTGTGATGTGTGCAGGGTGGTGCCGTGGGCATCCGTGTCCACTGGGATTGCGACCTGGACGCTGGGGGCTCCGACTGCCAACCCCACTACTCCTTCCAGCTGCAGGGGAGGAGCTACAACTTCAGGTGTGTCCCCGCATTTCCCCCAGTGCCAGTCCTGCTGGTCCTCGGTCAGCGTCCTGCTATGTCCATCCCCCTGTGGCAGCCAGGACAGACCACACCCTGCCTGCCTTCTGGATGCTTCCTGCTGTGTGTATAGGTGGGGGTGAGGGTCCCAGGAAGTGGCTGGAGGGACATGAGGGAGTGTTCTCAGCCCCATGCCTTCTTCCACAGGCTCCGTGAGGCTCTCTCCTGAGTCCTTCATCCTCCCCCTCACCTGTTCCTACACCCAGGCCCGGACCCCTGCACCCACCCCCTGCACCCCACCTTACCTCTAGCCTCTCCCCTCCATTCCACAGGGGACTTTCCCTGCAAATTTTATTTTAAAAATTTCAAAGAAACTCTAGAAAAGTTCACAGATTAGTGCCACAAACACCCATCATCTTGATTCACCAGTTTTTCACCGTTTGCCACATTTGCATCCTCCCTTTGAAGAGCAAGATGGGTCTATTTAGGTAGATTTCAAACTCAAGCGTTTGAAAGGACTTCCCCCATGTGACCACTGTACTGTTGTCACACCTAGTGCTGCTGTAACAGAAATATCACAATAGGTGGCTTTAATTAACAGAAAGTTATTTTCTCACAGCTCAGAAGGCTCTCTCTCTCTCTCAAGATTTTTGTCTCCTTCGGCTTCTGTAGCCCTGACTTTCCTCGAGTCCATCGCAATCTTCCTTCGCATGGCATCTGACTTCCCTGTTTGTGCTGGCTTCTCTCTGCATCTCTGCTGCTCCTTATAACTCAGAAGTGATTAGGTTTAGGACACACCCTACACTGATAGGGCTCATTAACACAACAAAGAAAACCCTATTCCCAAATGGGATTACACGCATGGGTATAGGGGTTAGGATTCCAATTCAGTCATATTGGGGGAATGCAATTCAATCTATAACAGTCCCCCTGGGGTCCTCCTGCCTCCTCAGCTGACCTCATCATGCCCTCGCATGCCCTGGTGCTGCTGTACACAGCTGATGAACCCAGGGATGAAGGCCTCCATGGTACTGCCTGGTTTGGCTTTGCAACCATGTGAGGTTGGCTCTCCACCTGTCCCTCCATGGCCTCACTAGCCCTGCCTAGATGCCTTCCTGACCTCTGCAAAACTCCTAGCACATTCTTCCGGGCCCAGCCTCAATGCTTCCCCTCCAGGAAGCCTCCCTCGCTCCCCCACCTGCCCTTGGTCCCCACTGCCAGTGTCTGTTTAGGGACCCTCTGTGTCCTCACCTGCCTGTCCCTTCAGCAGGCAGGGAGCTCCTAAAAGGCAGTTTCTGCTTTTCTCCTGTGTCTGAGCAGCTACCCAGGGCTGAGACTCAGGGCTCAGTGGCTTAGTAAGCACGAGAACTGGGAGAGCTGGCTGGCTCAGAAGTGGGCAGAGCTGGCCCTCTGAGTGCTCTCTTCTGCCCCAGGACGGCCACTCACTGGTGGGAGGCCACCGGTGTGGAGGCCCGGAGCCTGCTCAAGCTCTACGGGATCCACTTTGACATCCTTGTCACTGGGCAGGTAGGGCCAGGCCAGAGGGGTGAGGGGCAGGTGGGCAGGGATGGAGGGGTGCACGAGGCTCAGCCAAGGCTCTCTTAGGCAGGGAAGTTCGGGCTCATTCCCACAACCATCACACTGGGCACCGGAGCAGCGTGGCTGGGCGTGGTGAGTTCGACTAGCCCGGGGTCCTCTGGCTGCAGCAGCCATGTGCCTGTGTGCACCTGAGCGCCCTGTATCTGTCTGCCTGTCCAGTCTCAGAGTGAGGGCTGGGGAGTGGCTGGAGGGCAGGATGGGGGCCGGGTCATGGGTCTGCCCTCCTCTCCCAGGTCACCTTCCTCTGTGACCTGCTGCTGTTGTATGTGGATAGAGAAGCCCATTTCTACTGGAGGACCAAGTATGAGGAGGTGAGCTGTGGGTGGCCTGGATGCCGAGTTCTGCAATTTGGGAGGACACTGGCCCCAACCCTAACCTGCCGTCCTCCCCTGCAGGCCAAGGCTCCAAAGGTGACAGCCAACTCTGTGTGCAATGAACTGGCTTTCATACCCCCCTTAGCTGGCCCAGCACGAACCCCCACCAATGCCGCGGGGAGCCTGACACCGACACCAGGGCGGCCCCGTCTGGGTGCTGGAACTAGTGGGTCCCACTCGCTGGCTCCTTCCTGAGGCCTGCAGCTAGCTGTTGCCCGGTTGGGGTTTGGGAAGGCTGGGGTCCTGCCTTGGAGACCTCATGTATGAAGCCCCAGCAGGACCAGGGTGGGGGGCAGAGGAGCAAACCCACCTTCAAGCTCCCAGGCAGACTCTCTGCCCCCAACTCCAGCCTCGGCAGGCAGCTGCCCAGGAGGCGCAGAAGCAGCTGCTTTGTACAGAGACCTGCAGCCTCGCAGGGGCTGGCCTGCTGGGGTCTCAAGATTGCCCCAGCAATGGCCCACACACCAGCTGTTGGGCAGAGGCCCTCCCACTGGTTGTTGTAGACTGCAGTCCTGTCTGGCTCCTGGCCCTCCTCCCCCTGCTAGCACTTCATCTTATGTGGAGACCCCTGCTCAGCAGCCCTTCACTGGGCTCTGTGCAGCCTGAATCAGAGCCAGGGTGGTCTTCACTGCCCCAGGGCTGGGCTGCCTACAGCCAGTCCCTGTCCAGTTTGGGCCTCATCCATGGAACAAGGGGGCAGGTGGTCTGCCCCCCAAGACCCCAGGCAGGACATAGGCACCACTCTTGGCCACATCTGCTCGGTTATATGAGCACCAGCCACTTTCCAATGACAGCCTCAGGCTATGGGAGGCTGGATGGAGAGAAGGCTCAGGAGCAGAGGTGACAGTGGGTCTGTTGGGACCTTCTACATGCCTCCTCGGTGGACCCCCCTAGCCCAACCCACCCCCTAACCTGCCCACCAGGCTTCCTGGGGGCCCTGGGAATGGGCAGCAGGTACATCTGTAATTCACTGCCACCCAAACCATGCCTAGGAGCCTGCCCACCCCTGCTAGAGCCCTTGACCTTCAGCAGACAGGAGTGGCTGGGAGCATTGTTACTAATCAAGAACACACACAGACCCAGCCTCTAGCTGCCTGTAGGTTCTAGCTCTGGAACCTCCCCCAGGGCTTGGCTCAGCTGTCTGGAAAATTTCCCCAGGCCCCAGGGGCCAAGTTCAGGATCAGGGGATGGAGAGCTCCAGGGGAGTGAGCTGCAGGAGTCAAGCCCTCCTTAGTCCCAGGGTGGCGGGCAGGGATGGGGGCGTGCCTACCCCAGGGAGGTGAGGAGCTACTTTCTCCTGGGCCCCTGGTGACTTGAGGTGTGCTGACTGCTTGCCCATGGAGCAGCATGGACCAGGTCAGGGAGGCCAGGGTGGGGGCTGAGGCAGGGCTAGCACCTAACACCGGCACCTCAACAAAGCCCTTGGGTTCCTACTGGGTATCCCTGGGGAGGCAGGCTCAGAAGGGCTGGGCTGGGAGTGTGGCCTGTGGGGCTGGGTTCTGTCTGATGTTGTGGCTGGAGAGAGTACAGGAGTAAAGCCTGCCAAAGCCACCAGCTTCCTGCGTCATCTTTGCAGAGCAGGAACGGGAAGGAGGAATTGTCTGTAGCCGATGTAGCACAGCCACGGGGAGACCACTGGGGGAGGGGTTCAGGAGGGACCTGGGCTTTTCCCCAGGGACACCCTGGACTGGCCCCACAGCCACCAGGTGGGCTGGAAGCTACGTGGGGCAAGTATAGCTGCGTGTGCACTCCCACATGTGTGCACCTTCACCTCTAGGCGGAGTGAGTGGGAGAGTGAGCCTTGGTAGCGGAGAGCTGTGGTGCAGGGAGAAACCAAAACAGGGACCCGAGTTTGGAAACACTACGTGCACGCCCAAGCAGCCATACGTGCCCGCGGTGGCATGTGACTATGCATGTGTATGCCTCTGTGTCTCTGGGCAGGCCTTGGGTACATGCTGTGCTTTGTGGAAGCCCTGGGAACCAAGACTACACTAGGAATCTAGCTTTCCAGGGGGCCTCCCTGGGGCCCAGGCTCTGCTTCCCAGACCCACCCACAGAGGACACTTGGGGAGCCTGGAGATGAAGCCCACTATCTTGTGAAGGGCCGTGCTGCTGCTGGTTCCTGGGGAAGTGGGCTGCTCCTGGTGCATGCAGGGGTGTGTGTGGCTCCCCACTGAGCTGGGCAGAGGTCATTGGCCTGAAAGGAGGAGCCCAGGACCCAAGCCCAGCCATCCCTGACCCAGCTGTTGCCTCCCCTTTGCAGAGCCTCTGTGTTATCGCTGTGGGTTGGAGACAATCCTCTGGTTGCCAGGGGGTTGGTGAGGACACAGATGCCACAAAGAACACCACAGTGGACACAGCAGCAGGCCATGTGGAAGGCCGAGCAGTTATTATTGTGAATGCCCTGGGACTGCAGGTCTCTTCCACCTGCCCCACCACCACATCTGCTCAGACAGCTGGAGTCGGTCACAACTGGAATGTGCTGGGGAAAGAGTCCACAACAGCTCTAGTCATGGCCCCACTCCCTGACACCCAAAGTTCAGCAACAGGGCTAAGGTCCTAGGGTCCTGAGGACCCCCTCCCTTGGAGGTGGGCAACAGCAGGGCAAGGCATGGGCAGCACCCGCTGGCCTCATGGGCTGGCTGGTTGCTCCACACAGCTGGGCTCTGGAGCAGGTACCTGGCTGGAGGGTTGCACAGCCTGCACTGTCTCCTCCAGGCTGCCGCTGGGGAACACCACGTAGCGTGTGGCCGTCAGCCCTAGTGGCTCCCGCAGGTTCTCCTTGCTGTGCCAGATGCCGTAGCCGAAATACACGGCGAGTCCTGTAGGGGTGCAACAAGCCTGAGGGGAGCTCCCCACCCCACTCACCCTCCTCCTGTAGCCATGAAGGGTCCTGACCCCCACGGTCCTGCCAAGCCCCACTCACCAACCAGCAGCCAGATGCAGAAGCGCAGCCAGGTCAGGTAGCTCAGCTTCAGCATGAGACAAATGTTGAGGAGGATGCTCAGGGCTGGAGTCAGGGGCACCAGGGGGATCTGAGGGGACAAGGATGGGGCTGGGCTGGGCTACAAGAGAGATCTGCCAGCCCACGGCCCGACTTCATGGAAAACCACAGAGCCTTTCTGCACCTCTGGAGAATCTGAGGGTGTCCCTGGGTGGTGAAAACGGTTAACGTGCTCAGCTGCTGACCAAAAGGTTGGTGGTTTGAACCCACCCAGAGGCACTTAAGAAGAAAGGCCTGGTGATCTGTTCCCAAAAGGTCACAACCTTGAAAACCCTATGAAGCGCGGTTCTACTCTGCACTTATGGGGTCACTGTGAGTTGTAATCAATACCATAGCAACCAGTTTGGGTTTTTTTGGTTTGGTGATTTTGGAGACAAGCTCCAGCTCACCATACAGAAAGACAGCGGGTATGCAAATAGTGGCCTCTTAGCCCTCCGAGCCTTTGTTCATTCTGTGGTAGCAGAGGAGAGAGGGTGAAGACCCCTGGACTTGGGGCTGTGGGAGGCTGGGCTGACAGTGAGGGGGTACTGGCTGGGGGAGGTACCTGGAAGGTGTCCTGCCGGTGCTGTTGCTGGTGGGCTCCCAGGACGAGGAGACTGAGCAGAAACATGCTGAAGCTGAGCAGGAGCAACAGGAGGTAGGCCCAGCGTGGGAGGTGAAGGGCTGAGTCCCCGAAGACCAGCACACAGCCCAGGGTGATGGCTGAGACCACCAGGATGCTGAGCGCCCACACTACGGCAGTACCTGGGCTGCACCTACTCAGGAAACCCAGGTAGGGTCTCAGGGCTGGTCGCAGCTGCCCGGGCTCGGAGGCTGCAGCCTGCCCAGTGCCCACCAGCTGTAGGTGGTCTGAGAAGGAGCTATGCTCCTTGGTCAGGGGGCCCGGGCTGGATGGGCCTGGGGAGCTGGATGGAGAGGCCTTCTGGAAGCGCAGCACGATGATGCTGGTGGCCACGAAGGTGTAGGCCAGCAGCGTGCCGATGGACAAGAACTGGACCAGTGCCTCAAGGTCCAGCAGCAGTGCCAGGAGGGCCATGAGGACCCCGAACACCAGGATGCCCACCACAGGCACCTGTGTCTGGGGGTGAACACGGGCAAACACTTGGAAGAAGAGCCCATCAGTGGCCATGGCATAGACGATGCGTGGCAGGGAGAAGAGGTTGCTGAGCAGGACGGTGTTCATGGCTGCAACAGAGAGTGGGGGGCTGGTCAGCACAGTGGACAGGCCTACTAGGGGCCTCTGTGGGGGGCCAGGGTACAGGCAGCCCCTTGGGAACACGGACTTGAGCACCTCCACCCAGGAATGGGACACTCCAGTTTAAGTCTCATTGGGGGATCTGACATGACGAAAACAGGTTCCTCTGCTCAGGAAAGGACCTGTAAGCATGTGCCTGAAATTGACATTCTAAGTACAACTAGTGGGGGAGTGTGAATGGGTCCTGAGTGGAGAGTTGCTAATAGATACAGCCTCCCTGGGCCCATTATACAGCTGGGAAAACTGAGACACAGATGGAGAAGACTCAGCACAGGAGGCTCCCCTTCTCTCCCTGCCTGTTCCCACCCTGCCCAGTCAGACCTCTCACCGCAGATGGAGCCAACTGCCACGATGAAGCCAGCCCAGCTGTAGCCACGCCGATAGAAGGCGTCAGCAAGCGCCGAGTCTGGGTCGAGGCTGTGCCAGGGCACCATGAGGGTGAGCACGGTGGAGACCAGGATGTAGGCACTAGCTGCCAGGCTGAGCGAGATGGCGATGGCCATGGGCACTGCCCGCTTTGGGTTTCGGGCCTCCTCGCTGGAGGCAGCAATGACATCAAAGCCCACAAAGGCGTAGAAGCAGGTGGCAGTGCCGGCCAGGATGCCCGAGAAGCCAAAGGGTGCAAAGCCGCCCTCCTCAGCGCTCCAGTTGTGTGGGCGGGCCAGGATGAAGCCCAGGGTGATGATGAAGAGGATGGCGCCCAGGCTGATGGCTGAGAAGGTGTGATTGAGCCAGGAAGAGACACGGGCTCCGCAGGAGACGAAGGCAGAGGCAAGGAGCAGGATGCCCGCAGCCAGGAAGTCTGGGTAGTGGGCCAGCAAAGGCACCTGCCAGACACCCAGGTGGGCCTCAGTGAAGTTTCGGATTTGGTGGCTGAAGATGGCATCCAGGTAGCCACTCCAGGCTCGGGCCACGGCGGCACCACCTATGAGGTACTCAAGAAGCACATTCCAGCCGATGAGGAAGGCCCACAGCTCACCCATGGACACGTAGGTGAACAGGTAGGCAGAGCCCGTGCGGGGCACGCGTGCTCCAAACTCCGCGTAGCACAGGGCCGCTAGCAGAGAGGCCACAGCGGCCACGGTGAAGGACACCAACACGGCGGGGCCAGCCATCTCCTTGGCCACAGTGCCTGTGAGTACATAGAGGCCTGACCCCACCATGCCACCCACACCCAGCAGGGTAAGGTCCAGCATGGACAGGCAGCGCCGCAGTGATGTGTCCATGGTGGACTCCTCCAGTGGCTTTAGCCGATTCAGCTTCTGGCAGAAGCGAGACAGGCTGGCAGCACTGGGCAGTCCTTGGGCCATAGTGGATAGCAGAGATGGGCACAGGACCAGCCGGCACCTGTCTGGGACAAAGAGGAATGACAGGCTGCCCAGCCAGGTCCTGGCCAGCCTTCAGTCCCTCCTGGACGGTGCACCCCCAGCCCTCTCCCTGTCCCCCACCCTGAGCACCTGGGTACTGGGCATGGTGGGCCTGTTGGAGAGCAGGGGTCAGGGTCTGCAGGCAGGGGGTCACATAGGGAAGCATGAGAGGTCCCGTCTGCCCCTCTGGGCAGGGGGAGGAGACCTGGTGGAGCTGCACCTGGAGGGGAGCAGGGTGGCACTGAGAGTGGGGAGGGGACAGCTCCAGGGAGCACTAGCTGGGAACCACTCCGTGGTCTGGTATCCAGAGCTAGGTGGAAACGTGAGGCTTCCCGGGACCTGGGCCAGACCGCTAGGATCCGGAACAGGAGCGGCTCGGCGGCCCGGGCGTGGCCCAATCGGCTACCGGGCCTCAGACAGCTGTGATCGCTCCCCCCTAACCCCCACCCTCGGGATGGTGGATGAGCGCGACGGCTGGAGTCGGGGGTGCCTGGGCCCTGCGCCCTGAAACCGAAGCCCAGTGCACCTCCCCTCGCCACGAAACGTCGCCGCGGCCAGAGCCAGCTTCACCGCGCCCCTGTCCCTAGGCACTAGAGCTTTCGCCCCGGCCAGGGCCTCAGCACCCACTGCGACCCACCTGCCGCCGCAGCCGCCACCTCTGCCACTGCCGCTCTGAGCGCTGCGCCGGCTCCTCTCGCCCCGCCCGCCGGCACTGACTGTGCGCAGGGCCCGCCCCCACTCCGCGTCCGGATCCTGCACACCGCTCCGCGCCCCCACCCGGCGCCCAGATCCCGCCCGCCGCGCCCCTACCCACTACTCAGACACCATACGCCGGCCCGCGCCCCCACCCCAGGACTCTAATCCCGCACGCCACCGCCGCTTGCACTCAGCACACGGCCCTCTGGCCCCAGCTCTGCTCCGAGATTCCACGCACGGCTCAGCACTCGCGGTCACACACGCGCACCCCCACGCAGCCAGATAGCCCACCTACACCTACCTCACCAAATCAAGACCAGAGCTCACCAGGTTCTGAGGAAGCTGTTTCACTGGGCGGATTCACGGATGAGAAAGTCAGGACCATCAGATAAATGACTTAGCCAAGGTCACCAGGATGGGCTTGGGGGCGGAGTTAAGGGCAGATCTGGGACTCCAGAGCCCACCTACTTTCCATTGTGGCAGACTCCCGCCTTGAACCCTCACCCTAACACATATACCCCACCCACCTGAGCACCATCCAGGGCCCCCCACACTGGGTGACTGGGGGCTGGGCAGCTCTGGGCCATCCTGCACCTCTCTGGTACAATGGAATGGCAGTAAGTCAGGTCACACCTTGGGAAGAGAGAGCACTTAGTTTCTGTGAACCAGCCGCCAAGTGCCACCAGCTACAGACAATGCCCCTGAAAGGAAGGCAAGAAACCTCGGGGGACAGCCTGCGTGGGGCCTCCAGCATGGGCTCACCCAGGACCCTCCCATGTTAACGGAGCCCCCATCAGGCTGCGGCTCATGCGTATCAATGGACATAAGCGAGAGCTCCCCTTCTCCCTACTGAGCCCACTCACTCCATGCCAGTCCCCACACCAGCAGGTGATCCCCCATCATACAACAATCACAAGCCCCCCCTCAGGTTTATTTATTCTTGGGGCTGAAGGGTCTTCATCCTTCTGCTGTTCCCACTTCTCTGAAAGTGAAAAAGTTGACATTAACTTGTTCACAGCAAAACGACAGCAACCAAACCAAACCAAACCCATTACCGTCTAGTCAATTCTGACTCCAAGCAAAGCAAAATCAAAACCAAACAGGCATTCTTTTCCCCCAGAACGTTATATAAGTTTTCAGCTTTATATGTGGTTCGTGGAACTGGATCTTTGTGGCACCTAGAGTCTTACTGGCTCAATGGGCTAATGACAGGATGGTGGACTCCTGGACAGGATAGTACCACTTGGAATGCTGTGCCTTAGGAATAGGAGCCTTAGGCCCTTTCAATATATAGTTGATACTGTCTTGAGCAACAGATAACATCTTCCCCACCCCATCTCAGTGTTGCCTAAACATAACTGAATAGACTTCCTTTGTCCTGAAATGTCAGGTAAATTTAGAAAAATGCAATTCAAATCAAGAGGCTGATGCAGTTTTGTAATGGGAACTTCCCTTCAGGCCTTACTGATGGCAACTTAAGAGCTGGTGTGTAGTGGGTCAGAGTACTGACTTCTAGTTTATCCAGAGAAGGTTCTCACCACGTCCTCTTTCATAGGCACTAACGTATAATGGACGTTGAGGCCAATCTTTTTTTTTTTTTTGGGGGGGGGGCGATGGATAAAAGGATAAAAAGATGTATGACAAAACATTTGCCAATTCAACAATTTTTACATGTACAATTCAGTCACATTGATTACTTTCATCATGTTGTGCAACCATCACCACTATCCTTTTCCAAATTATTCTACCACCCTTAACAGAAATCCAGTGCCCCTAAGCAATGACTCCCTCCCACCCCTGGTAACCAAAAACCAAACCAGTTGCCATGGAGTTGATTCTAGCTCATGGGGACCCATGTTTGTCAGAGTAGAACTGTGCTCCATAGGGTTTTCAATGACTGATTTTTCAGAAGTAGATTGCCAGGACTTTCTTCTGAGGCACCTCTGGGTGGATTTGAACCTCGTTCAATGGTAAAAACATCACAAAGTTCAGTAAAGCAAAAAGAAAGTTTTATTTGGCATATATTCAAAAAGGCAAAAATGGGAAGCGGACAAGCATGCTGCCAGAGCCAATGTCTGCCCCAGTCCAAGGAAATATTACAGAACAGACAAAAGTGGGAAAACAGACAAGCATGCTGCTAGAGCGATGTTTGACTGAGAATCATCAGCATATATTAACATTACCAATGGGCAAAACCACTGAAAGTTTTACTTTTTCACAGATTGACTAGAAACTGTGATCCTACATTTTGAATTGTCTTTTTTAACAATTGTTGGTACAGGTTTCAGTAATGACAATCAGGAGGGTCTTCATTGGTCCAACAAATCTTACTATTCACTAAATGCTAATAGAAAAAGAGGAGAGTGGAAAGTATGTGGGTCTTTTGTGCTGTATTTCACGATTTGTATATGTGAAAGCTTCTCTAAAAGGTGTTTTCCAAGATTGTCCTAGTTAACCTCTTTATACCCCAGGGCTCAGTTGAGTGTCCTTGTGAGTCCTTATGAGTCCAGCTCCAGCTAGGTCACATTTTTAGGACAGGGAATAATGGCTTCAATATTATCTCCTAAATCAACTTCCAACCCTTTGGTTAGCAGCTGAGTGCATTAACCATTTGCACCACCAGGGATGTCCTACCCCTGGTAACCACTAACGAACTTTGGTCTCTATATATTTACCTACTTCATATAAATAGAATTAGACAATATTTGTCCTTTTGTATCTGATTTATTTCACTCACCATAATGTTTTCAAGGTTCATCCATGTCTTAGCATGTATCAGAACTTCATTTCTCTTTATGGATGAGTAACACTCCATTGTATGGCTGTATCATACAATGTTCATCCATGCTGTAACATGTATCAGTATTTCATGTTTATCCCTTCATCTGTTGATGGCTGTTTCCACCTTTTGGCTATTGTAAATAATGCTGCAATGAACATTTGTGTACAGGTTTCTGTTTGTGTTCCTGCTTTCAAGACTTTTGGGTATATATCTAGGATTGGGATTGCTGGGTCATATGGTAGGTTCTATGATTAACTTTTTGAGGAACTGCCAAACTGTTTTCCACAGCTGTGAATTTTAAAATGCCAGGGATATGGCTGGGGGAAGTGCTTGGATTCCACTGAGCAAGGAAGTTACATGCAGCAGCTCCATGGAGATGCAGTAAAGATCAAGTACCAAAATAGAAGAGGAAGGAACACATCCCAGCTTATTCTACAAGGCCAGTATTACCCTGATACCCAAACCAGACAGGTATCACAAGAAAAGAAAGCTAGAGACAAATATCCCTTATATAGACACAAAAATCCTCAACCAAAAAAGCATTTGACAAAATCCAATGCTTTTTCATGATGAAAAGCACTCAACAAACGAGGAATAGAAAGGAATTTCTTTAACCAGATAAAATCCATCTATGAAAAATCCACAGCTAGCAACATACTTAATAGTGAAAGACTGAAAGCTTTCCTTCTAAGATCAGAAACAGGACAAGGATGCCTGCTGCTAATCAATATTGTACTGGAGGTTCTAGCCAGGGCAATTAGGCAAGAAAAGTAAATAGAAGGCATCCAGGTTGGAAAGGAAGAAGTAAAAGTAATCTTTTCACAGATAACATAATCTTGCATATAGAAAATCCTAAGGAATCAACACACACAGATACAAAAACTGTTGGAGATAATAAATGAGTTCTGCAAGATTGCAGGATGCGAGCTCAATATGCTAAAATCAATTGCAGTTCTATACAGTAGCAATGAGCCAACCAAAAATGAAACTAAGAAAACAATTCCATTATAATAGCATCACAAATAATAAAATACTTACAGATAAATTTTTCAAAAGAAGTGCAAGACTTGTATATTGCAAAATTCCAAAACTTCATTGAAAGAAATTAAAGAAGACCCAAACAAATGAAAAGACACCCTGTGTTCATGGATCAGGGGTGGAATATTATTCAGCCATAAAAATGAATAAAATATTTTCTGAATTTCTTTAAAGGTGGTGGAATAATTGGAAAAGAATAGTTGTAATAGTCGCACATCTTGAACATAACCAGTGCCACTGAATTGTACATGTAAAAAATTGTTGAATTGGCAAATGTTTTGTTATATTCCTTTTCACCACAATAAAGAAAAAGAATGAAATACTGATACATGCTACTGCATGGATGAACTTGGAAAACATTATGCTAAATTACAGAAGCCAGACACAAAAGACCACACATTGTATGATTCCAGCTATATGAAATGTC